GAGCAGGGAGTCTTAATAAAACTTGAGGAACACACTTTGGTTGAAGATGGCCAAACTTAATAACTTTATTGTGTTTTTTCTCACTTTCACATTCTCTCAGATAACTAAACTGAAAGATAGTTTTAAAAAAGGGCCCATAGTTGATGAGAAGTTTAAGGTATTCACTAAAAGAATATCCTGGATCTAATTAAAATTCTTAACATTCCACACATAACTCAGGTTATGTTCAAGGTCTTCATGGATTTAAGGTCCTTAGTCTCAATAAACTTAAATAATCCTGTTTTACCAAACACAGATGGGCATGCACCTCATACATACGTCTCCCCTGCCAGGATCTCATTTTATATGGAGGAAAATATTGTTTGCTCTTTAAGAGTCAGCACCAGACACACTGCAAAACTGACTCTGTTCTTACACACCACGATAAATCACCTGCAGGTAAACAGGTTTTACCAATTATTGGACCCTGTGTGGCTCTGTTTCTCTCAGGGTTGCTCAACCTCTTGAGTAAAAATGATTCATACAGAACAGGATTATGATAGAGACAAGCAGATTCAGATAGTTTTCTATTTGTGGACGTCAGGATTTCTGAGGGAGAAATATGGAATGCTGGAAGGATTATTTAAGGATATTAGAGCTGAGAAGAAGGAATGGATCATTCTGCTCTCTGTACCTTTTTGAATTTCTTGTAGTAGCACAAAAACGTACTACGAAAACCTTTCTTTTTTCAAAATAAAAGTTCTGTCTTTCATCACAAACTGTCTGATGAAAGAATAATAAAGAGGAGGAGAAATTTGGAATCACAATGTCAGCATTTCATACTCAAAGATAGTTCACATGCTAACAACCATTAATAGAGTCACTGTTGGTTGTGTGTTGCACTTTTTAAACTGTCTTCATGACCAAAAGTACAGTGATCTGTTCCATCCTCTTTTAATTCAAGTTGCCTTTTTATACGAGGGGAGGGAAGGAGAAACTAGATACTTTACTTACATTGTTTTGTACTGTTGCAACTTTAGATCCAGGTCAATTCTCACAATGAATATGATCAAGAAACTTACTTGATAATTACAACACAATAATTACAACAACACGCTCAGGATAGATGTCAACAATGTAGCACGTAATGTTCTAATTGAGAAAAAAATGGCAAATGACTAAATATATTTTTTTAAATCTTGAGAAACCTCATATGTAAGCTATGCACAAATGTACCTTATGTACTCAGGCCTCAACGCCTCTGGTGCCAGCAACCTCCTGGCGCGGCATTTTGTGCGTGCTTCACCTCCACTGCTACAACTCCATCCTGGAAATCATAAATCAATAGTAAAGCTGATGTTTGGGTTAATACGGTTACAATCAAATGTGACGATCAATTGGAAGAATTTTTGCAAACAGCCCAGATGCTTAAAACATTTGTCCACAATTAGTGAGACAGATGCTAATAATACTAAAACCTTAAATAACTACGGCTGTGCAAAGGTGTACTTTATTTGTCTTTGTTAATGTGCCTTGTCAAACAGCAATAAACATTTTCATTGACGTGTGTGGGCACTACCTAAATCCCTATATGAGGTCTGAGTTCAGTGCCCTGTCAGCACGGAACACAGGACATCTGTCAGCAGAAAATACACAGTCCTTATCCCCTTTGCCACCACATCCTTCCCTTCATGTCCCACAGAGAGACACAAGGCTATTTTTGAGAGTACTCAGGCCCCCGGGATGGCTGCAGTTTTACTGATTATAGCCTGGAGGAAGATGGTAAACAAAGGACATGGTATATGGTTCGTGCTGATTGGGCTGCCATGGTGAAAAATGTTTGAAAAAGCAGTATGAATCTCCTGCCTCGATGTTGTGCAAACACTGCGTCTAATTGCCCTCAGGTTTTCTTTTATACTGCTGCTTGACACTGTTTGTTGTTTTTATTTGCATCCTCAAGATATTCTGTGTTATTGAGCTATGTTTCTTGTGAGGTTGTGTAAAAGCAAAACTAGTGTGGAGCTCAAGGCTGTCTTACAAATATACTGTCGTCAAGAAATAATTCAGCACTGACTGACATCTTTTATCATCACAAACACACACACGCTGTGGTTCAATTTCACAAAAGTGAGTCGCTCTTGTAAATACTCACTGTCACTGAATTGCCAAACATGTATTCCTCCCCAGCTAAAAATAGTCCCCAGTAAATTCTCACTTTTATTAGAGAGAGGTTTTCCGAAAACAACAGTCCCTAGCTATTAGGAAATTACTGAGCCTTTCTTAAAAACAGAAAGATAAATTTTTAACTGATTTGTAAACAGTAGAACCAGTGGGCTTGGAGCTAAGGCTGGGGAGGGAAGTCAGAAAGTGTAGGTCTCAATAAGTGATGCTTTATCACAATGTTTTTTGTTGTTCCATTCTTATACAATAATTATACAGTTATTAGTTAATAATAGTTGTTGTTGGTTCTCTTTTCCTCATCTGGACATCTGTCCATTTTTGACTTTAGAACTTTTATCGCACTTGACGTTACTAGTTGTCAACGTATCACTCCTTTGCTCTGCTCCATGTGTGGGGGGAGGCTATACATGGCAGAGCATAGGTAAGAAACATCACTGTACCAATCATCACAGTAGGAACTCTCACACTGCACTTAAATGGTGTTAATAATAAATAATGTTTTTTCTTACAGTGCTGTCTCATTTAAAGTCAAAGTCCCAACATCAGCTATAACCTCCAGTGATAATTAACCAGAAATGTGATTAAAATCATTCCAGCTAAGACTGGTTCTGCTGTTTTATTAAACTCGTGTTTTCATGTCCATTTAAACACTGTAACTTCCAGTAACTGTATCAGTCAGTGATGCAGTGTCTCACAAAATTCACTTCCATATCAGGACCATCTCAGGAATCTGGCCAGCCATCATAAAAATCTGCAGCCTCGACGCTGCTTCAAAATCCGAATTACAGAAGAATGAAAAGAGGCTATGCTCGAGCTACTTTGGCTCTGGGATTCTCTGCTGTGGAAAAGGCCATATGAGACGTAATGGTCTGTAAATGTACACATACCTCTGCAGTTGAGTCATGCAGCCCCCTCTCGCAGGTTGAGTGGAGAACTGATAATCAGCTGCAGAGCTTGGCTTTTGTGTGTTAATGTGCCAACTGCCAAGCAAGTTCTCACTGCTTTTCTTTCCACACCAACCCTCTCTGTCTTGTACCTCTGTTATCTGACTTTCTGCGTCAGTGTGAGGACAGCTCTGACCTTAACCAGGGGCACATCTGACATGTCACAGGCTCTTTCTGTAGCTGCGATTCTTTCAGCTTTAATGTCTTCTCTGTGGTGGGTCCTCTCCAGAGATAACAGTACATCGACACAAGCATATGCTGACCTCGGTGCACTGTACTCAGTTTACTGTACATCCCTTTGACAGATGTGTTATTCCAGGTGTCTGGAATACAATACAGTTTATTTTTACATCATGTCACTGGCTCGAACAGCAGCTTTTTGAACTATTTTATTAGCTTTTGATCGTGGTCTGTAGAAACTGGCCCTCCTGCTGTTAACTCAAACAGTGTTTTTCTTGTCACGTTCACTCTGTATGCTCTAACTTTATGATAACTCAACATCTGCAAAGATTTGTAATACGATAATGTAATGGGATAATTAAGAATCTATTAAATATATTTCCTCCTTGATAAAAATAATTTTCTTTCTATTTATGTGCACGGAAAAAGAAAACAGGAATTTATTTATAACTGAAATGCTTAGGTTATTAGTCAGTGGCAGTGGCTTAACAGAATATTGACAGCTCTTTTGATAATTACTTTGTTGTTGAGGTTTTTTGTGGCTTTCTGGCATTCATTTAACAGGGTTAGATAGACAGGAAGGGGAGGGAGAGAGAGGCGGGTAGAGAGAGCGAGAGAGAGCGAGAGGACGACATGCAGCTAAGGCCCTGGCCAGATTCAAACTGGCGGTAAGGACTCAGCCTTCTTAACACGTGGTAAACACTTAACAAGGTGAACCCCAATGAAGCAAAAATCAGTCTGTGCCTTCGGCTTCTTGATATGAAGCAACATAAGACGTCTCCGTGAGCTTTGGTAAAAAAAAAAAACCATGTGGGCAGGGAGGTGGCTCAAAGAGAACCTGGGGAGTAATCGGTGCAGCTAATGGCTGTTAGCTGATCACTCCTCAGGTTTAGAAAGCTGCCACAGGAGGGAGAGACACATGGCAGTGAGCATGAGAGAAAGAGACAGAGCAGCCAAGATGCCAGAAACCGCTGGCCAATTTAAGTTGATTGGAATTATGTTTGTTTGAAAAGTCAATATTTTTTAAAAGTGAGTGGTTCATGTCTGGCTGCTGTTGGGAGACCCTGTTGGCAACGTCTTTTGCTGCAACATGTTGTCATTTAAAAAACATTGATTAATTGAGATAATGTTAGTTTAATCATTTTAAAAAATAGTTGTAGAAAGGAATTGCTGGTGTTTCTGAACATAGCACAGGTGAACCCCAGCTAGCATTAGAAAATTAAAAGTTGGTTTTGGTATAGATCTGGAATCTGTCTAAACTTGGGCTGTCCCCTTAAGTTTTGTGAGAAAAGACCAGGGGTGACAGAGATGCTCTCGTCTCTATTGTCCAGCTGACAGCAGGAGAGACATTCAGTATGACAGGATTAAATAACTGAGCTATGACCAAGATGCCAACTTTTATTTGCCCTGAGTGTGTGTGGAAATCTGATGTTTCTCCATCACAGATGATAGACAAAGACTTTTCAAACAAAGTCAAATATGAGTCATCTAGATAAGAAAGACCATCAGCAACACAGTGAACAACACACACTGCCCAATTAATATACTTAAGCATAAGGAAGATTAAGTTCTTATATGGCTTAACATTGCCAGGATGTCTTGTGTAATGGTTGTTGCATTCATCTGCTCTTGTTTTGCCTCTATCTCTAGACTGACAAGTGGCAAATAAGCCACAATGCCCAAAACATATCTAAGGAACAACAATAACATCCATCCTGAAACATTTTGTTATGTCTGAAGATTTGTGTGTTTAACTCTCTTCTTTTTCCACCTGCTGTGCTTATGTTGCAGGTTGAGGAGGGCAGCAAGGCGGCCGCTGTGTGTCTCCAGGTGGGAGACGAGCTTGTCAACATCAACGAGATTCCCCTGACTGGCTACAGACAGGAAGCGATCTGCCTCGTCAAAGGCTCCCACAGGACCCTTACTCTGGTGGTGAAAAGGTAAGCAACCAATCCCCATTCCCTCTCCTCTGGTGCTGTCACAAGGGCGCCTACCCCTCGCCCTAACAGCTCACCATGGAAACATGACCAACAAACCAAGGTGACAGAGGATCCCAGCCCTACAGCTGCAGCTTGTCAGCACAGCTTGTCTGTAGACTAGTTTACATTTTCTGGGATTTTTTAACTGTCACCATTTAGTTATTGGAAGCTGGACAATCCTGTTTTGCTAGGTTGTGCTGGGTTGTCAACAGGAGTTCATGGTTAGTGGCAGTTTTTCATGACGATCAAGTTCTGAAGAAGGAGAGGCTGTGGATGACATCATTTTTCCTGTTAGGTCCCACAAAGGCAGGAGTGAGAAGAATAAACAAGGGGAAGTAACGATGCAAATGACGCTGTAGTGCTGAGATATTTGTAGCAGTTCAGTACACCTCCTATCAGTTGCTCTCACACGCTTTGTGATGAGGCATTTCTAGCGTACATTGTTTTCTGTGCTATTTGCACACATCTCATTCTTTCACATTCACCAAAGAACACACTGTTGATGAACAGTAAACCCACTATAAATGATTACATTCACTCTTTTGGCAAAAGCCAGCCCTTGTGACTTATTGACTCTGCTGTATTGTTTTGTATTCATATCTTGTTTAACCGATGAATCATTTGTCCTGGAGGCCTTCTTACAAATGACCTTGTTTCGTATGAAACACTAGTCTTATTGTCTTCTTAGCCGTCTGCTTTTCTTTCTGCATTGTATCATATCATAACGTAATCCCCAAACAAATCCTCCCATACAAGGAAGTCCACTCACCATCTATCTCTCCATAAGGAAGTGGCTGTGAGTCTAAGTCATTGTGTTTTATTCTCAATGGACATGTCTATTATAGGATCTGAAAACAAGGATGCATTACTCTCAGTAACAATCAGTGTTTTATTTGATTACCTATGTTATTTAAATGTCAATCAAATCTGATCAGACTCACAGCCACACAGATCTAATGAAGTTGATTAGCGATGTTTTTTTTAGCATTAAAATCGTAATCTTAAAATCAAACAAAATCTTAAGGAATGTGACGTCTTTAAAACTGAAACAGGATATACGGACTGGGTTTCATTACAAGAGGAATCTTTGTAAAATAATTTTGCTTGAAAATGGGTGTGTCTTAGCTACTAAAGAATCAAAGCGAGTTGTATGGAGATGCAAACTTATAGTATATAGTTTGATATATTATGTTTTTATGAACGTTTCACTTTTATGTTCCTCTATTGGCCGCCACAACCAATAAGCTCATGTCAAGTCACATTATTGGATAAATGTAAGTACATCCTCAAAAATATGTTCATGTTACTAAGTGAAGATGTGTTTAATTCTCAGATTTTCAATTGTAAACAAAGTGTATTAGTTCTATGTGCATTTATGAAGTGTGTGTATAAGAATAAGCAGTACAAATATAGTAAGTGTCATAGCTAATCACTGGCAGTGGTTGCAGTCTGTATTTTTATGCCTCTCACTAGCAGCAGCCATGGCCTGAGGCGAGACAGTTTCTGTATGGTTCCTACGTCCATGCATATGTATGTTCATGCATATGTATCTACAATCAAACTGATTTTGTTGGTCAAAGTTCAAAGGTTACAGATGTCAAAAAACATGGCCATTGTTTGGCCATAAGCAAGAACATCCTGATCCTGAGATATTTTATGACAAATTAAACATTCAAAGAAAGGGAATAGGAAATAACAGTGGATAGGTTAGACTTTAGAAGAGAAGGAGGACTAACCAAAGGATCTGAGTATTGTCATTTCATTGTACATGTGTTTCAAAAATAGAGAGACACATGTCCTTACAAGGCCAAGTCTTATTGTTTATGCTGTGTTTTAGAGAGACGTTTAGTCCCACATGACTCTTAGTTGCTCCTGTTGGTCTGTGTTGAAAGGTTTTCTTTTTACTCACACTATCCAATGGCATCGCCACTCAGTCATTTTCAAAGGCCACAATAACAAGTCTCTGTCAGATTTAGAAAACAGCAAAGTGATGAAGGTTCATTAAAGAACCTCAATCCTTTAATTCCTATCTCTTTCTCTTTTGACCGAAAGCAGTCTGCAAGTTGTGTTGGAAACTGGTGTTGGGTTTGGAAACATACCAGGTGTATCAGTCCATATATCGCTGCCTGTACCTACAGCACGTAGAGCCCTGATGTTTGTCTACTGCTTTACCTCTGCCCGGGCATGCAGATGCCAGCCATCAAACACTTTCTTTTTATCTCATGGATAATGTTGGATACTTGAATGGGGATCAGGAAGCTGTCAGAACCTGCTCCTGTGTAAAGGTGTGGTTTCTTTACCAACAGCAGAGGGGAGGAGCTTGAGTTTGCAAAGTCATGTATATTGCATGCAGTGACTAATGATGTGAGATTGTTGGTATATTTTCACACGTCACAAAGAGAAGAGGTAGGTGTGGTTACCTGTGGGAAAGAACTGTGTCATTTTTGCACAAGCCTAGACAAAACGAATGCACATTCTGCGCTTCAACTTCAGGATGTCGAATGATGAAATTTTGCACATCAAAAACAATACAAGAGTGTGGGGAAAAAGTTAAATTGCATGTTTTATGCACTGTTTGTTTAAAGCACACCAACACTAATTACTATATAGAGTCAAATGCTATAATTCTCCTACACATTGCATTTGCACGGATTCCAGCTTGTTGTTGTTATGCTTTGCAAACTGAAAAAAGTTGTAATGTGGCAAAATGCAGCAAATTCTAAGTTTAATTCTAGTCAGTAATGTCTCCAAACCTTATATGGTCTGCACTTGTCTTGAGAGCAGCTGCACTGAGAGTAAGGAAACAAACAGTACACACAACACTCTGGTATTTTTAAACAGTGCAACTAGAATTTACAGAAACACAGATTATTTGACCCGTATTTCTTTGACAGCTTGTATCACAGCGGTGATCATCTGAGCTTAACACCTTTTCCATAAAGTTTTCACATTATTTGCAACATGCAACCAACTGTGGAGTAAATCATTTAACTTTACAGCATGAGACTTGAAATGTGTTGTGGTATTTGGTTTCCCCCTTCTGGCACTGCCACAGAAGTACCACAGCTGCTCATATGCTTCATTATTTAGCTTCAGAAGAGACACGTAAAGCTGTTGTTGTTACAAAAAGTTTCCAGCACCATGATACACGAGTGTGGCTATTTCAGATGAGTGAAGTATACACAGCGATTTAGAGGACAATCCAATTATACCTGGAAAAGCTTACAGTGTAAGCATTCAGTAGCAGTTCCAGTGCAGTGGCTCACATTTACTGACGTTTGTTTTTCTAAATCCTAAAGCCTATGTATGGAACGCTTTGCGCTGAATTCTTGTTTTTTCCGAAGTAGATTTCTTAAAATTGTTTGGGTCTCAGCAGAGAAAATCCTAGTTTAGAGATTTCACTGTTGGCTTGTCTTCGCTGCACCCCTCTGTTTCTGTTTTGGTTTGTTCCAATGCCAAGGTGAATTGACAGCAAATGACATCACATCAAATCTTAAAAAACTGTGAACAGTCCAATCAAAGAAGAAATACTTTTAGTTTGTTGCGTATTTTACAAACTCTGACGTCTTTCGTACTTCAGCTCTGAGACTCAGGGTAACTGGTCACAGTGAGGCCCATCACCATTCATTCATTCATTGACAGGTTGAAATGATACCTGTAATTTCGGACATGATTCCTCTGATCTGTAATAATGGTCTAGGTGTAAGACACAGGACATGCTGGGTAGTTTTGTAATTGTAAAGTTGTTGAGACCCTCTGCCACTGACAGAAATGTTTCTGGGCTGTGGGTCAGTGCAGGCAGCCGGTGACTTGACAGCTGGTATGCCACTCAGCCCAGGAATGTGCTGGTCATTACATGCTGCTCACGGTTCACCTCTCTCACCCGAAACATGACTGGTTTGATTGTAGGGTCTGCTAAAGAAGGCCTTTGTCAGACCCTCAGGGACCAAGTGGAATCCACTGTCTCACCTCCAAAAGCAGGTTGGATCCTTTTAGGCTCAGCATTTTTCTCCCTAGTATACGTGAGGCTAAACTTAATGTGTTTTGTTTAATGGAGATAATGTAGTTAATTCCTTCACCAAAGACACAGAGGTTTAACTGTTAAAGCCTGAAAAGATGGCTGTGAATTTGCCTAGTATACAGTATGTACAATCTGTACTCATCTGACTAGATTGAATGGACTTCACATTGAAAACCTTGTTTGATATGCATGCTTAATTGCCTCCCTCACAATAGATCACTGCAAATTTATTTTCCTTCCTATCACCTTTATGTTGCAACAATTCTTTGCTAAGACTATTTCCTGTCACCAGACCTCTTGCACTCGTGCCAGGGAAATAATAAGAGGAAAGAAACACTTGTTTGTCACTCAGCCAGGAGACTTTTTACCTGTTTATGACATTTATCATATTGGTCATTAACCAAACGCAACAGTCTAGACCACCACAAATATCTTAACTGTACTCTTCTCTGAAGATGAACAGTTAAACTAAAAAAATCTAATAAAATAAAAATAGACGTATCTTTTGGATTACAGATTTAGTTTTTCATAAGAATGGTATTATGTATTCTGCTGTTGTATAATTCATTATCCTGCAAGTTGAAGCTCATATTGGACAACTTCCATTCAGACTGAGCAACACTTGGCACTTATGTTAATCGTTTCTTATGCAGAACCACATTCCAGATGTGATTAGTTTTATGATAACTGAATAAGACAGTGTCTGAAGTCAGTGTTCATCACAGAAATCACTTACTCACAGAAATGTTAGTTAATGCACATTGTCCTTGTGAATAATTAAATTAAATGTTGCATGTATTTTAATCTTACTATCCTATTGCATACAGTCTGCATGAGGTCATAAGACTATTCATTAACACAATGAAATAGCAGCACAGTAAGAATAGAATTATATACTTTATGTCAGGTATAATACTGAATAATGATAACTTGGATTTATAAAGCATGTTTCACAAGTTTGAAAGGTAATAATGATGATAATAATAATACATTTATCTAACAACTTTATCTAATAACTTCATCAAAGACAAGAAGCAAGTGATGTCTAAATATTATTGTAACACACATTAAAAGAGAAATAAAGCCTAATGACCATGAGGTTTATTGATTAGTTATTCATTTTATATGCTATTTCAAGTTGTGCTTGAGTCATTTATTTTGAAACCTGAGTTGTATTTTCTATTAGTTGCTGACATCCCTGCTTGACCAGTTACAATGCTCATTACCCTAAGCTTTCAGGAAACTGGGTGCCCCCGCACCCTAGAGATCAACGTGTTGTCATAGTAATGGCAGAAATGCATGTCTGCCTCCCAACAGGGGAGATAGGGAAAGAGGGGTCCGGCATTTCATCCGATCATTAGCATATTAGCCCCTTAGAGCCAATGAGACGAGGCTAGGTACGGGAATACTCCAAGAAGACTGGCTGTGACAATAGGCCTCCTCCCTCTTCGAACGTTCTTCCACCCCCTCTCAGGGGTAAAACCCCCATAATCCTGAAGGAAATCTCCCCTCTGTTCAAACTAGTTGAGCTAGGAGAACTTAGCTTCAGTGATGGCCACTCTATGTTGGACATAGTGTATTTGAGTAGTCCGTTAGTGTGTGTTTGGAGGTAGTGGGCCAGTGTTAGAGCTGTACAATGATGCTCAGACATCCTGCACGTCTCTTTATTTTAGTCTGCCTTTGAAGTGTCTGAGGAATGTGGTGCCTGACCAGCGCACGGATACAACTGTTCTCCCTCCCAAACTGAGCTCCAGTCCAATATTATTTTTTGTTTTTACACATCACGATTCTTCTTTTGCTCCGTTTTTAATTCCTTTTATCCAGATGTTCGGTGAGTCCAATTAACTTTGAATTACGTTTTACTGACCTGTTGAGCCCTGAACTTTTGGATATCCTTGTTTGAGAGCAGTCTCACCTGCATCTGTCTGCCTTGTTATGTTTAGGTGAACGAGCTGGGGACATTTAACATATTGTGGCTTTCATTGTTTCACTATATGACCCTAATACTCTGTTATTGTTTTGATTGTGTTCTGTCTTATCATTCAGTGTGAGGTCATCTGCCATCTAGGTTAAGCCACGATCAGGAAGATTTAGCATTTTTTATAAAAACAAATGCAAGTTAATCATTGAGGGAAGAGGCTTATAGGTAAAATCATTAGTGAATATTCTCCTCAGTATTTCAGCTTTAATATATTGGTAATAAATATGCTGTTTCTTTGTCATCATGTTGAATGAGTCCTCTGTTTATATCTGTTTATGTATGAATGTGGACCGGTTAGTACTGGACACATTCAAAGTGACATGGGACTGATCACCCAGTGATCATTTTAGAGAACAGTCTTTCCCCTGCCCCCATCCCACCCAACTGATTCACTTTCCAAGCATATCTGTGCTGGCCCAGCTGTAGCCCTGACGATAGGCCTAATAAAACCAGCCTCATTTGCATACCAATAGCAGGCGCCATGTGTGGTTAGCTCCGAGTGCCCCAGAAACACAGGCTGTGAGGGGACAAGGAAGACTGAGCTCCATGTTGGCTTTTCTTTGTCCTCTAAATAGGCCTTAACTCTAATCCACAATTAATTTTGTGAAATTGTCCCATGTTATTGAGCTTAAGCAGATCTCTGTCTCAGGCTGAAATTTCTAAATCTGTAAAATGAGTGTAGTGGACAAATGTAAAAATATAACTTATTGTATTATTTTAGCCAACAGTTTGTTTTCAGGTCTTCATTTGGCGGAAGCTGTTGTTTGGACCTCTTGTCATCAGATCACTGAAGGGCTTTAGACAAGGTGACTGAGGGTGCAGGACCTCTTGACCTCATGGCTTTGTGGCACAGGTCTTGAGTCCAACGAGATCTAAAGCAACCAGAGCTTTGTCAGAAATTCTTGACCAGTGTGTCACAGTCCCCTCTCAGTAAAAGTAGTTAGCAAGTCTAAGTTACGTCTGCAATAAATTGAAAATAACATTACTAAAAAGGGGCTAAAAATTAAACCCCAAAATTTGTGCCGAGTAAGTGTTAATTCAATAATTCAGTACTTCCCCCCAGACACACACACATTACACACATTACATTTGTACTATTACTACAGGTGTTATAGTCAATAATAAGTCCCTTGTGGCTGTGAAACTATGTCAGTTTTGAGCCTCACGAGAGAGAGACTGTCTGTGAGGTAGACGACAGCTTGGACAGAGGGGTGAGGTGGCTGATCTGATTGTGTAAGAGATTCTCTATTCTCCTAAATCCCCCACCCCATGCTGGGATTTGTGTTCCCCCCAGGGACCATATGCTAAGGTCTGAGCACAACCAGCTCACCTAGGCTCTGTATCATTTTGTTAATGAGCCGAATGAGAAGAGAAGAACACATTGTGATTCATTATAGTCTTGTCTTTGTTTTTATAAGGTCCTTCAAGTAGGTGTTTTTCATATTTCTCAACTTCTATGAAAATTAGTTAAGTGTCAACAAAAGTTGACTCAAATGTAACCAGGAGAGGGAGCTATAACATCATGTATCAGCCAACATGCACCTCGATGTAGACTGCATATTATAGTCTGGTGAATTAAGAGCAGTTTATGATAATGCCTCGTTTAAAGAACCTTTGTCCTTTGAGTTTTTGCTACACTGACCCTCACAACTCATTAACCTCTATTCAGTAAACTTCAGAGCTAAATGTCTGGTGGTATTTCTCTTGTTTTGTTTTGTGAGTCCAGTCAATTGTCGGTGAGCTCTTAGTGTGTGTGTGTGTGTTCCTCCTCCCTGCTGCCTAGGAATATGAAAATGGTGGATATTGTAGCTCAGAAAATGCCCTCAGAGAATGACGTGCATGTGGCAAGAAGCTTTCTCACGAAGATTTTGCGAAGTTCCATGAGGTACAGTTCTGTGGCTTCATCGTAATCAGTAGTACCTGTTCCTCCTTTTTTCTCTCCTCCGTTCCTGTCTGCTCCATATCCACAATCACATAAATCATTGTCTAGTAATAATATCATCTTCATACCTCTTACTGCACCTCTCCCTCTCCTGTGGTTTATTACCTGCCCTCATTGGCATGCCTTTTTGGATTGTCTCTTTGTTCATGTCATTAGATGAATCATGTTCATCTCATTTGTAAAGCATGTTAAACACCATCTTACATCTGATGTATGCTCATATGTTCTGTTTACCTTCTCTTGACATGCAATTCAGAAAGAACCGTTTTAAAGGGTATGTGTCACATGCATAACTGCTGTATAAAGTTTGTGTTCAAGCTGAGACTTATATAAAGTATCCACAACAGAATCCATCTTTGAATGTCAGCACTACAAAATGTGTTCATAAAGATGCAGTAAAACTAAAAGTATTTATAATTATTCCCTGTGTAGCAGCAGCAAAGTTGCAGCAACAGCTTTATCTGTAGCTTTTGGTCACCCAGATTCATATGTGGAAGCAAACATACTGTTTTCCATAAGGGGTTGGTCTCTAATCCAGTTGGTGTTTTTTTTTTCTTTCTTTGCCCTCACTTCAGGCGGAATGAACCCATAAGCAGGCCTCACTCCTGGCACTCCACCAAGTTCAACGAAACCCAATCAGAGACGGCCAAAACACAGTCTCCACCCACGCCAGTCTGGCACACCAGATATGATGCAAGGTAACTCTGGGATCTTGAAGTTTGCCTTTTGAGTCTGTGTTCCATGTCAAACTTTATGATTTTTTTGTCCGTTTTTTAATTGTCTTTCTAATGAGCGAAATAACCATTACAAGAAATTAAATGTTGTGTCCAGTAGGTGGTAAATATGATGTGGAAATGCCAAGGAAATTGTCTATTGCATTGGCTAAAATGGGTGAAGGTGAAATGAATTGATAGTTAAGATTCTATACCCTCTGTAAACACAGAATAATATAAATATATCATATAACAAAGTAATATATATATCATATTTTGCAGATGAAAACCTGGCAGTTTGTATTGTATTTTCACATTTTGTAATTTTCTTTAACCTCTAGCTCATCCTCCACTGATCTCTCCTCTGCCTGGGAGCAGACAAACCTGCGCCGAGTGTCCGACCAGTTCAGCTCTCTTGGGAGTATGGACAGTCTAGAGCATGTGTCACACCCGTACTCTGCTGGTCAGCTGTCACCTGCCAAGTCCAACAACAGTATGGAGCACCTGGGAGGAGGGAAACGAGACTCAGCCTACAGCTCCTTCTCCACCAGCTCTGGCACACCAGACTACACCCTCTCAAAGAGCAATGCTGCCTCAACAGAAAACATGCTCTATAAAGTGAGCCAGTGGGATGCAGGAGGAAAGCACAACAATCACAGCAATAGTAGAAACAGCCACAGCCTGACTGAAGGTGCAAAACACGATGATAGGCTCACGTACTTTCAGATGCCAGGTGTTAACGCAGGTTTTGAGGGTCCACAGATTGAGGACCCGGCTGGCTCCCGCCATTCCACTTCAAGCAGAATCAGCTTTGGACCAGTCTGGCACGTCCCAGAGAAAAAGAAGAGTGCATCTCCATCACCTCCCCCACCCCCTCCACCTGCACGCAGCGACAGTTTTGCTGCGACTAAGGTACATGAAAGGGGACTTGTCGTAGCACACACTGAAGGACCTGATTCACACAGCTCCTGTAAGACGTCCTCTGATAATCGCCGCAGTCACATCCTTTCCCTGAAAAATGAAAGTGACGGTTTTTACCCTTCATCTGACAAATCGAGCCACAACCAGTTCAGCTCAAACAAGCAGTACTCCCTGTCCAGCAGTGATGTTCGGCAAGGCCAGCCTCACCATCAGAGACACCACAGTGACAAAAGCACTTTTCTCTCTCAGCCCTGGGCTACGTCCGCACCAAAACCACAGAACATAGGTGGCTACCATTGTAGCATGCAAGAACTGCCTACTAACACATCTGCACAACAGTTTGGTCAGAACCAGAGAAGGAACTTAAGCACCTCCCTGTCTACTTCAGCCAATGAGCAGATCACAGACAGCAGTGCACACAGTCGGTACTACTGTGTCACAACATGCCAGCCCACGCAGCCTAACACCCAGCTGATGTTAGGAAAACCAGACGACAGGAGGAGTGTTACCGGAGCAGACATGGCACAAAGTGGAAGTGAGCGTAAATCTCTGAGCCCACAAACAGTCAGCAAAGTGAAGTATCACCTGCCCCAACAACACTACAATAAAGATAATAACGGATACAGCAAGCACCAAGTTACCACTGTAGCTAAACCCAGCTCTGATGAGAGGGGAAGCCAGAGAGGACACAACACACAAAGTGCAGAAGCTCAGTACACAAATTACCCTCCTACCAGACAATCTGAACAGCGAAGGTCTCTCCAATTACAACACAGAGAAATACCTCAAGACATCAGATATCATGGTCAAGCAAACAATAAAATCAGCCCTCATGCCACCCCCATGCTGCACTCTTTGTCCATGGATGCAGCAGACCAAGACGAAAAAACAAGAGGCACGATCTCGGAGGAGTCCCCTGAAGGCAAGCAGGTAAAGCGCAACGAACGTTTTGCCACAACATTAAGGAATGAAATCCAAATGAGGAGAGCCAAGCTGCAGAAAAGTAAGAGTGCAGCCATTCTTCCCAGTGCTGAGGGTGAGACTGAAGAAGAGCTGGACATCTGGAAGTCCACTGAAAGCACCACCCCAACGTCTGCAGACGGATCCTTTACCAACACCTACAAGGATCATCTGAAGGAAGCACAGGCGAGGGTGCTCAAGGCTACATCTTTCAGGAGGAAAGACCTGGAGCCTGTCTTAGCTGAGAACCCTGCAGCGGAGGCCTTACCAAACTACCCATCCTCAGCACTGGCCCGTAAAGATGTCCCCCCTCTGCCAACTGTCACTGAATCAGTAATAACTAAATCGGGGGCTGCTGCTGGTCAGGTAACTCGTATTGGAGGCCGGAAGCGTTTTACTGCAGAAAAGAAGGTACGGTCTTTCTCTGAACCAGACAAAATTCATGAAGTCGGGGTGAAGGAAGATCTACCTTGCAATGAAAATACAAGCTCCTCACTAGATCGACAGAAGCTCATTAAAGAAAGTGGGAGACCTGGGCTCCCCAATCAGATGCCCCTTCATAGCCCGATGGTCAACCAGGGCCAAGATATCCCCTCCATCATTTCAGCAGAAGACACAGTGAAAGGGATCAGCAGCAGAGAGTATGCTGAGGAAGACCAGAGAGTTCGTTACTCTGAACACAAACAGTCTGTCCTCGACCAGCAACGACTGGGCACCTTCGCGGAGTATGAGGCGAGGTGGAATACACAGAAGAAACCAGCCGAAACCAGAGCCTCTGGACGGTACCGTTCAGCTGATAACATCCTGGATCCAGGGCCAGAGGAGAGAACTAAAACCACCTGTTTGCACGAGAGATCCAGATCCTCTCCTTCAGCTGACATGTATGGACAGGTGAGGCACAAAGTCTGATTTTTTTCTTATCTCCAAATGACTTCTGCAAACATTTTATTGGAATAATAATAAAACATTTTGACCTGAGCTGTCTCTTGGGTGTACCTTTGTTTTAATTACTTAAAAGTTGCAACTGTACCAAGCCCCAGAGGTGACTTTACTTCTCGTTAAAACAAATATACTCACTGAAATGAAAGGCACAAAGGAAAAAGCCAAGTCAAATATTAATCCATGTTTGAACATAATGACACACCCTCAGCTTGAGGAAGTGAGAGGGGCATCAACTGCTCATGAGTCTTTTCACCAGTGGAAAACAAGAAGGATAACATAATGACTCGGCTCTTGTCATAGCTGGAAGTCTCATTTCTGAATAGTGAAGGGCTTCTTTATTTTTTTGCATAACTGATTATGTTTTATTCAAATTTAAACTTTATTTACAGAAGATTCCAGTACCTGCAAGGACGTCTGAGACTGAGTGTTCCCAGACGCAGAGTAAACCTGCTGAACTGCTCTGCACTGCTACAGCGTGAGTACATTTTCTTAGATCAAACCTGCTGGTGCGATAGCTTCAAAGGCAGTGGGACTTGCCATTTATTTCTCAAATATAGAATGCAGTATACTCTAGTTTACTAGTTTTATTTTAGGGATTGCTATACAATATGCACAGTGTACTATTTGACCATATCATTTAGTTTTATCTTGCACCATGGTCATGGAGGGTTGTAGAACAAAGGCAAAAACCTCATATCCTGATAACATACACATATGTTATGTGTTTCTAGGGTCCATGTCTCTGCAAACGTACGTTGTAAAACCAGCTGTTATCTCTTCTCCATCTTCTTAATTCTTGGCCATATTATTTGCCATAGACCAAAGTCTTGAGGCTGCGGTTTGTTTTGAGCACTCAACCTTGTTTTTTTTAGCTCTCATGCAAAGGACTCTCTATGCTGTTTGACATTATTGTGCCGTTGGTGGTAAAAGAGTTAAGTGCTGGATCTGCTGCATATTTGGCTAAATTAGTTTTTGTTCTGTCAGACTTTTCATACCTAAACCACATCCATGTGACAGAGGTAGCCTGTCTTTTTTTTCTACTGTGTGGAATTACTATGTTTTGTGTCACATTCACTCTCCTTATAAAAAACTCCCACCAAATGACAAAAAACATGTCTAGCCAGTGGAATTTGGCTTTTTCTATCATCACATGTTATATATCGTCATATCACAACATATTTTGTGTGATATTTTATTCTTTCTCTCATGAGATTTATCAGTGACAGAAGGCAGTGAGATTGTAGGGGAACAGTGAAGTCTTTATAATCTGTAGGGGCATACCAGTGGCACTTCCTTGGCGCAGCTGTGACAACATAAGCCATCTCTGTGGCTGCACTTTGTGTCGTTCAGCTGAGGCTTGTTGCTGTATGGGAGGCATGTCTGTGACAGTGAGGCAGTGTTTCTTCAGCCTATAGGAATGTAAAGGGGACGGGTTCAGGGGGATCTGTTCGGAGGAATGAAATTATCATCTATAAGATCTGAAATTTAGCATAATTGGATTTTTAACCATACTAGTGGCTCAGCTGTCTTGGTGGCAATGTCATCTAGTTGTTTGGTCCAGACCAAAACATCTCATCCAGGTCCGTCACCATGTTGGCATATAGATACTCTTGAGCTTAAAGGTCCAGTGTGTAAGATTTAGGTGAAAGGGATCTATTTGCAGAAATTGAATATTAAATAATCCCATTGATTTTTTTTCACAAATATGTATGTGTGTAATCACCTAAATTGTTTGAATTGTGTTTTTCTTTACCCTAAGGTAAGGTAAGGTTCCTAAAGTATCAAAATATCAACTCCAGCTCTGACTAGAACTGTAGGTTTCAATGGAAGGTTTTAATAACCAACATCAGTAAGATGAACATGTCTTGTATAGTATTTCAGACATGACTTCTGGGGGAAAAAATTGGGAAATAAAAAAAAGGAATGTTCCCTTTTTCTGTTGTCCAATTGATTTGCCCATCCAATAGCAGGCACCTTCATATTTTGTGTTTCCTCCTGTATCAGGTAAATGAGTGCAGTGCAATTCAATTTTTTATTGAAAAATAAAACCTTAAGAGAGCATTGTGATCTCCACAAAAAAAATCATTTTCATTTTATCCAGAATCTTGCATTTATGTGAAATGTAGTTTCCAGTGTTTTTTTGGAGCTTAAGCTCGAGACAGCTGCTTTGATCGTTTTTATCGCTTTGTGATTTTAAGCACAGTTCAACTGTTCAAAAGCTGCTTTTTTTAAGCTACGTATAGTGACTCATGACTTCATCCTGTAACCAGTTATTCAGGAGTCTTTGTGCAGTATCTAGCTGCTACTGGTGAGACTCTTGGAAAGGTGTAGAGTGTCCTGTGTTGAGCAACCTCTTTGTACGAGCTACACCATATGATGCTCACGTTTGCATGACAACAACAGTGCACAGGACATTATTGTCATTCAGAAGTCTGAGAGATGAGCTCAGTGAAGTGCACTCCACCCATAAAGTGTTATTGATACCGGCATAAAGAGAAACAGGTGGCCTCTGTCATTCAGAGAGTTATCAGACGGACAGCACACTTGCTTTTACTTATGTTCTGTGGCATGTTAGCAGTAAAACTTCAATTTGGGTGAGTTGGGACAATATGTTTTATACATATATTTTATGTTTTTTTTGTTTAGTTTCTTTGTTTTTAGTTTCCAATTTTCTCTTGTTTCTTATTTCAAAAAGACAATTATTGTTGAGAAGTAATGTGTATGATCTCTGTAACCATTCTCCAAATCCTCACTTCAGTTCTTGGATCTTCTGAAGTCTTATTTAAACAGGGGGGCAGGGACAGCTGGTTTTGGTATAAAAGATTGTCGAGGTTTGCATCATGGTTTTAGTCTCATGTTTGATTCTTGAAGAGGCCTGAGAGAGAAAACAGCAGGACATCCCCTGCAGGAGGACACAAATATCTCAGGATGACGTGTCGATATGTTGTCAACGCAGCAGAATTTATTTTACATCCTGCTTCTGCCTGCTGCTCCTCCACCTGAATGCTACGCAGATTTGTGTGTTGTGAACACGTCTGAGCAGAGAGGCTCCTGCTGCTTTGTTCATGTGTGAAACATGAGAGAAAGTCTCGACCAAATTATGCAGACATCCTTAAGAGTTCAAGGCTGAAAGCAGCGTGAGAGGACCAGAGAGAAAATGCTTAACAGAAGCTTTACTATGTAGACAATGGTAACTCAGTTACTTTTCCTGTGATGTGTTTACCATGTTTACCTACGTGAATCATTGGATTAATACTGACATCATAATTGTAACGTGACCACTGGATATTGCTGGCATCGTGTTTCATGTTTGTGCAAGGTATATTTCTCACGCTCTGTCTAGAGCTGAGACTGAAGGAGGGTGTCCACTTCACAAACAGGTGTACACTGGGTAACTTTTCACAGCTTCAGGGAATTCAGATTGGGAGGTTTGTGTTATGGCCTCTGTCCACAAGTCACTGTTCTGTGTCTTGTGACTGCACATCCAATACAACATTGACTTTCATCAAAGCTGTGTGCTTTATGTGTTTTCTAAGAACTTCTTATTGAATCTGTATAAGCAAGTATTGACGTGTCCCCTGTGGGCTTGAAACTACAGCATTAAGAGTTTATGTACTTCTACTGCTTAGTTAACGGCAGCGTTCCATTGTGATGTATGGTTAAATTATGATCTCCAAATCCTATTATTCGATAACTTATGCTCCATTAGTTCACTATCAGGGCTTTAATGATCGCTGTGATCTTTTCTTCCTGCGCTATGTCTGACTTAAACCTCCAAAGAGTTAAAAGTGCAAATGTGAATCAGACAGGAAAAAGTGATCTTCTCCTGCTTCTTTGCACTGGAGCATTATTTATTCCTCTTCGAAGACGTTGTGGGAACTGAAATATTCCTCTTCACGCTGCCAGCTGAACAGTTACCAGGGAGGAGGCTCGCAAAAGAGAGGGAGACGTGTGTCTTTTCATGCTGGCATAATCATAGTGGCTGCTGGAGCGAGGAACAAGTCCTCCACAGCAGTGTATTATTTGATAGAGCTGCAGATGATAGTCCATGCTGCCTGACTGTGTAATTAAAAGCTTTCTATTGTGCTCCTCAGCTTCTCTGACAGAGGGCCCAGTGACTGTAAAGTGAGAGAAAAGACGGAGGAGTTTGAACGTTACTCAGCACCACCCCCTCCGCCCATGACAGGAGCCAACCCTGACTGCAGACACAGAGCTGCTCCTGCCACCGAGAACCACAGACCCACATCTCTCTCTCACAGTGTCACTGAGTGTGCTCTCCCTCAGCCCACGGACCACAGCCACAACGAGCCGCCATCTGGAGCGAGGAGGAAGCCCCCTGTGCAGGAGAAGCCTCCCCCTCAGAGATGCCCAGAGGTCAACACCCACGAGTCCTCCACCAGTTCCCAAAGTGAAGTCCTCACCGACTGCTCTCCTACCACTGATAGTAACTCCGCCTTTGTCCCCACCCACTCTGCAAAGAGAGATTCTGAGCAGGGCAAAGGACTTGTGGACAAAGGACAAGGGGCAGTACATCATCTGTCAACGTCCAATCCTCAGCCTGCCTCCTCTCCCCCGGCTTCCTCCTACAGACCTTCAGGGCCGACCAGTATGGAGGGGCAGCGCTCACCATCTCCACAGTTTTCTCCTCAGAGACTCAGCGACAGGCCTCCAGTCTCTTTGCAGGATGAAGACTCAAACAGGTAAACTTTTTCTTTTATTTCATGATACAGTAGAACTGTTCAACTTAAAACTACCACTGTGTTCAGTCAGAACACAGTAACTGCAGCTCCTCAACTTATCGTGTCTTTATGCTGCATGTACAAAGGAGCTTATTGAGAGTCTCTGCCTGTGTAGAACCAACATGTGAGTGCCATCAAGCCACAGTAAATTAGAGGGATTCTCTGCATGTCTATAAAAGCCACTGGTGGTTTTGGCGTAATTCTGCTAAATGCTGAAAAAGTAAAATGTCTTTTAAAGCCCCAAACATGAAACTATTTTTTTCATCTCCTTGATTCAGAATTAATTGATATCATCTGCAGTGAGCTTCAGATTGTACAGCAGGACTATTACAGCGAGCAGAAACCAAAGGAGTGGGAGGAGTCACATGTCTTAGATATTCCAGCACACTGGGCACGGAAAAAAAAACTAATTTGCCATCATGCAATGAAACTTTTAATCATCGTATGACTGGAATAACTGCAACAAGAGACTTTCTCTCCTCCTGCTCCTCCTCCACAGAGTTTAATTTTATATGTCTGTCTCTGATATTTCAGGATTGAGCATGTGATAGAAAGCCAAAATCCTGCTGTGAAGAAAGTTCCCATCAGGATCGTCCACTCAGAGGGCTTCACTGAGATGGAGAAAAGTCCATATTTGCAGCACAGTGACCCGCCTCCTGTTGAAGCTGAGGTTCCTGGTGTTAACAGACTCAACAGTCTGACAGCTGCAGGGCAGGACTCCGTTTTCTGCGCCTTCACCCGGCAGAGAGAGCCCGACATGCTACCAGCTGCTCAGTCAGACACAAAGTCCCACAGAGACACATACATGACCACAATCACAGATCACATCAGCTCCAGCTGTCAGCAGCCAGAACCGCTCACAGACGAGCCCGTCAGCAACAGGACAGCTGTGATCACGGGAGTGATGGAGGATCAGAAGAGAGAGGAGCTGGCCAGGGACATCATGGGGAAGGACAAGTCACTAGCTGATATTCTGGATCAGAGCAAGATGAAGACCACCATGGACCTAATGGAGGGTATCTTCCCTCAGGGGGCGCAGCTGCTGGAGGAAGCTCACCAGCGCAGGAAGGTGCCGGTCAAACAGACAGTCACCAGACCTGCCGAGGAAAGGTCAGTCTGCGTGTGATCTGATTGAGGTTTCAACCCGTTTCTTTACATAAAAACACACGACACTGTTGAATATTAGCTAAAAGTCGTGACTAAAAAGTTCAAATAATTTGCTGTAGGTCATGAATTTGCTAACATTCATTTATAAAAGTTGAAATAATTTGCTGATAGTAATGTATAAATGTTTTAAAATGCAGCTGCTTCTCCAAACAGACTAAATCCTGTCTGTTCGTGTGGACAATTACATCTCTCATCCATTTTTTACATTTCTATTTCAGGGAAAAGGAGGACAGTATGGCAGCAGCTGTCACCATGGTGACCAGCTCTACATATTACAGCACATCTGCTCCCAAAGCTGAACTCCTTATCAAGATGAAGGACATGCAGGAGCAGCAAGAGGAAGAGGAAGAGTCAGAGGACGAACTGGACATTGATCTGGCCAATAAGAAGGTACCACACACACACTCACAAACAAATCACCCCCAACAGTGTTTGAGATTTCTAGTTTTTGTCACTGAATAGTATTGATCGTTTTTTTAAATGTTTTTCATGTAGCAAGAGCTGATCGACAGCCTCAGCAAGAAGCTCCAGGTGTTGCGAGAGGCCAGGGAGAGTCTTCAGGAGGACATCCTGGACAACAACGCTCTGGGAGACGAGGTGGAGGCCCGAGTGCAACAGGTCTGCAAACCCAACGAGCTGGACAAGTTCAGGATGTTTGTCGGGGACCTGGATAAGGTGGTGAGTCTGCTGCTGTCCCTGTCAGGCCGTCTGGCCAGAGTGGAGAACGCCCTCAACAGCCTGGAGGAGGACACTACAGCTGAGGAGAGGGTTAGTGAAGGTCATCCTTAGAAGTCTAACAGATGGTTTGAAGGTCTTTGGAGGAAATATGACACATCCTCACAAATCCTAATGTTCCTTTCCTTTTCAGCGTACGTTGGTTGAGAAGAGGAAGCTGCTGATCCGTCAGCATGAGGATGCAAAGGAGCTGAAGGAGAACCTGGACCGGCGGGAATGTGTTGTTTACGAAATCCTGGCCAACTACCTGCAGGAGGACAGCCTCACGGACTATGAGCACTTTGTCAAGATGAAGTCCGCGCTCATCATTGAGCAGCGCAAGCTCGAAGACAAAATCAAACTGGGCGAGGAGCAACTCAAGTGTCTGATGGACAGTCTGCCAATAGAACAGAGGCTGTCCTTGTGAAGAAGTTGGACACAGTCTTTGAAATAGCCCAGGACTCAGGTTGTGTTGCTTCAAGATGCAGCTGAGTCCTGTGTCCAGTAGAGGGAGACAGAGACGTCAAGCTGCGGAGACAAACGACCTGTTGTAAGAGGGACTGTTGCATTTTCTGACATTTAAAAAAATTCATATCTCCTGAAGTGGACCGCCACAGACTGACAGCATCCATCGCTTCATAGTGAAAGATGCTGCTTTTCTCAACCAACCACTGTATTGATTCTTTTTTTGCTGTTTTTATTTCATTTTTGGCTTTTTTTAGTAATTTATTGTAGCCTTTTGAATCCGGGCAGGAGGGGACAGTATTTTATCTTCAACTGATCTGAGCAGCCGTGCTACCTGATGATGTGTGTCACATGCTGAACAACTAGAAGTATTTATCGGGATTTATGTTGAAATAATGTCACCCTCTGAAATTCACATAATCCATCAAATCTGGCCAAATATTTCAATAAATACAAACATGTTTGTTAACATTTATATATAAACTAGTGGCCTTGTACTAAGATTTTTGTGCCCTCGCTTTTCTTCTGCAAAATAGACAAAAAACAAATGAAGACAGAAGGCTGATAGTGCAGCAGCCCTGTGAATGAACTGGTCATTTTAAAGAGCACTTGTTCAGCTTCACTGAACAGAAGAAGCACTTCACATCCAGATTTTAACTCAAGTAAAATCCACAGTTAAAGTGCCCGAGGAGTCGTCCACATCACCGCATGTCACTGAACGCTCTTTAATCCACTGCTGTCCGATTTGTTCAGTTTTATCCACTACCAGAAAACTTTACATTATGATATTATCACACGTACACTGTATGTTGACCAAGTGTTTTTGTATTTCGTCTTATTGCTTCACTGTGTTTTTGTTATTCACGGTGCAGATGTTTCATGCATAGTTACCACAGATGTTACTTGACCTCTTAATAATTTCAACACTAAAAATGTTTCAGGTTGATCATTTGCCACCAAACAGGGGAGGACATCTTTCCAAAGCATTTTTCAGACCTTAAGGATAAAATCAGTGTGTTCAGATGTGAAACTCCTGCTGGAGGACGTTTGTTCTGCACATTTGAGTGTGTCACATTTTGGAATGCTTCATGCACTGCTACAGCCTGACTCTTAACACTTTATCAGCTGTGCTCCTTTATGTTAAATAAAGAGTCTGCTGAGATCACACACTCTTGTTTGATTGATTCCTTCTTAACTCATTTCCACTGTCATTCATTAACTCCACCACGCCCTCCTCTCCGCTGATAATGTGGAGGTAAAATACAGTGACGAGACACGGAGTAACTTTAACGTGCAGGTGCTTCAGGGTGTCGAAAATGTCGACCGTCACTCGGATTCAAGCTTCTCTGATATAAAACAGCATCTCTGGAAAGACGCAGTGTTTAAAATCGACAAAATCGGAACTTGAGACTAATTTTGGTGAGTAAAAGGTCAGATTGTAAGTCAGGGTTGTTTTATTATTGTGCTTTACCTGCAGAGATTTAAATGGACAATCATTAACTGCACCAGTGCTTGAAGAGATAGTACCTGCTGTCACTGAAGAATACGGTTTCTCCACACTTCCACTGCAGCGCGTTGTCTAATCATTCTTAAAAGTACATTTGGAATTTTCACCTCAGAGGTTTTGTTATGCTCTAAAACTTCCAAAGGTACGTTATAGCTTTTTTTCCTCACCCCACTGTATTTCTATATGTTTTCTTGATCCTGGATAATGTAACTACTTACGAGACTGAATTTATTCAGATCACACAGGAGGCTTAACTGCATTGTTCCAAAACAAATCTAGGACTTACCCATTTAAAGCTGAGTAAATGAAAAGCCAGGAATTTGTGGAAAAAAGAGGAATTTAAACAACACACTTCAATGTGGGTTTAATTTGGTGTTATGCTACAAACAGTGGTATTATAGAAACATTCTTATACATGTAAGTTTTATTATATTAGCTATTATGACAGTTGTGGTCACAGTACATTGCAGCACTTAACACTGTCTCTTATCTCTGTCGTGTCTGATGTCTGTGTACATACACGTTTTTATATTAGAGTAAATAGTATTTGTTTGTCCCATTTACACAATATTTTCACAATTACTACGATGCTACCACTAATTCACACTGTCAGTCTGTAAGAGCTGCAACACAGATCTTATACAGAAACCTTGTGAGAATGATATAGTGGTTAATGTTGAGTTATAAAAGATGTTTCTACAGCTCTACAAAGTAAATGTGATATACAGATAATAACAGTGAAATAACAGCATGTGTTTTTTTAATGTCTCAGTTCTTCAGTCTATATATACATTTCATTACATCACTTTTCTCCACCTGCTTTCGTAAACACATCTTAAAGGATCAGTTCAACCATTTACATAAAAATAGTGCAGTTAAAATGTTCCCTCGTCTCACACGATTAGTTCCATTCATGTTGACTGTATTGAGCTGATGATGTTTTCTAAAGCCTCAGTAGATCAAATTATAAAATTATTAATCATAAAATTATTAATCATAAAATTATTCATGTGTCTGTGTATCTGCAGGTATTTCTAACTCCTGCAGCAGCAGGATCCAGATCTGATCCTACTCTATTCCCCCATTTTTCTCCGCTCACCACAACTGGTCGAGGCAGATGTCCGCCCACAATAAGTATTGACACGTTGTGAGTGCCTATAATATTGTAAGCTTTCCATCTCACTATGTGAAGTGCCTCGACATAATATATGTTTTGACATACAATTACAATTAAATTGAACTGTAAGAGGTTACATGAGGATGTATGTGTTTTGATTATTTGAGTGAACTAAACCTTTAAAGGTTCTTTCTGAGGTGTATCTGCTGTGATACAAGTCACCACTGACATGTTGAAGGATGCTGCTTTCCTCCTGTCATATTGCAGGTTTTAGTACCCAGCATGTAAAAGTATTTCACATTTGAAAGTAATACTATAAATGGATGTTGTGCTCTGGATCTCTGTTTGTTCTCCTCAGGCGTGATGAAACCAGAGATGCTGCATGAACTCTGTGATGTGTAAGTCTGCGGTCAGTCTCTCGGAGCATTAGCAGGGCACACTGGACACCATGATTTACTTGGCACACACAGCTCACTGGCAGTTCCTGGGCCTCGTGGCAGGCGTCCTGGCGTGGATCATCACCATGGCAACAGCCGGCCTCAACGAGTGGCGGCTGTGGCACGTGGACGACGTGTCCGTCATCACCTCGGGCGTGGCCTGGGTTGGTATCTGGAGGGTGTGTTTCTACACACACGTCCTTTCACAGATGGAGTTCTGTCGGAGCATCAGCATCTCAGACTCTTTTCTTCCGTTGGAGATCCCTGTGGCTCAGGTGCTGATGGTGCTGGCGGCGATCTGCGGCCTGGCAGGAAACATCAGTGGCGCAATGGCCATGAGGATGGCCTACTTCTCTGTGGAGGATCGAAGGAACATCAGGCTGCTCTTCATACTGGCAGGGACCCTGTATCTGTTCACAGGGTTGTGCTCCTTGGTGCCGCTGGTGTTGAACATGAACTCTGTGCTCATCAACAGCACCATTGACTTTCCCCCTGAGTTTCACGTCCCTGCAGCTCCTGTCAGGCAGCAGGTCGGCACGGCCATCGCCTTGGGCATCTTTGCCTCCATCCTGATGTTCATCAGCGGCCTGCTGTTCCTCTCCTACAGGTACGCCCGCCACACACTGAGGTCAGAGGCTCACAGACGCACCAGCGAATCGTTCCATGGTCCCTGGACAGCAACAACCATGGCACAGAGGTTCAATGGAGTCAACCAGGGCATTGACAATCCTGCATTCCTCAGTGAAGACATCTCACACAAAAAAATGGTACTTCAGGAACAATTTAATTGATTTAATATCTTTATTTTCATCTTCATCATCCAAGAGAAAGAAAGAGACAAATAATGCCATAAAGTCCCATTTAAATCACAGTACTGCTCGATCACAGTTTTATTGTTGTTGCTTTACTTTTTGTTTAGGATGTTACATCGATATTGAACAATCCAGAATAATACAGACAAGAATATATTGTCACTGGACCTTAATCTGAAAAGTATAAACTTAAATCAACTACTACTATTAAAGAATTACTGACAATGTGACATTCAAATGCTGGCATCGCCTCTATTTTAATAAACCCACATATGATATTGATAACAAACTCTATTTATATAGCACTTTTCAAAACACAGTTACAAAATGCTTCACAATAAGCAAGACAACAGATAAAATAAGGTAAAAGCACTCAGTAGAGCGCATAACTCCTCTAAGGCCCAACAGGCCCCTTATGGAACCACATTAAAACTCATTCGAATCTGCATCAAATTTCACTCACTCATAGTCACATTTTTTAATCAAGATCCATTGATCAAACCCAGAGAAATCAGAGAAAATGGTGAAAAATGCCACACAATGTTGAAGACAGTGAAAAAACAATCTTCCAACACTTCCTTGGGTCACGTCCCACCCCTTTACAACATTTCATGGAAATAGCTTAAGTAGTTTTTACGTAATCCTGCCAGTAAACAAACAAACCCCCCTTGACAGAGGTAATTAACAGTCCAGATTAAATCAAGAAGGGCTTTCTGGTAGAAGTACATTTATTAAAAGAGTTTACACAGAAATAATACCCAGAGAAACACAAGACAACTGATTGGCCTCCAGCAGCAACAAACTGTAACATAACCAGGTCATTACAGGTATGAAGCAACATCAGCATTCAAGTGTCTGTACACCTGATTGTGGAAGTTATTTCTCTCAATTGAGCTCTGCAGCTTCTAAATGCTTCAGTAAGAAAGGTTATGGGGGAGTTTGAGTTTTTCTTTGCTGAAAGAAGTTGCTCACTACAGGCAAATACAAATCTGAGAGCTGCGAGAATGAACCTGAAAAATGAAGCTGTGGCCTCAAAAACCAAACCAAGGAGCTGAAAGAGGCTTAAATTTTATATAGTGTTAAACAGCTCGACATTCTGTGATAACTGTTCGTGGCTTTGTCACAAGTGGCACCTTTCACACATAGGTTGTCATGTGAACCATCGTTAATACAGAAATAATGATTGTAGCAGCCTTGTAATTGTGGTGTAATATAAAACATCATGTGTGATATGATATGAGTTCCTGCTGCCATGTTCTTAGAGAAATCTATTTCCAGTCAGCTTAATTACAGCTTCACTGGAGGGAAGTTGCCAGAGTCCAGGGACAGATTCATATCTGCAGAGGCCACAATAAACTTTATCTCTTCAGCATTATCTGAATGTTGTGTGGAGTGAGTAACCTGCATGTTCCTGTAATGACTGATCAGCTTTATCACCACACGGGCCGGGGGAGGTTACATGACCTGCCGAGGTTTGGGCTTCTGACTATGACCATGTGACCATGTGAGGGGGGATCGCAGCAGGTCAGCTTGACTGGGGGGCCTGCTCATGTGACCTGGGTAGGAGGCTGACGCGAGCAAGCATGTGAGTACAGAGAGGGGGCCGCCTCACAGTCGTGATTGTTGCCAGGCAAAGCACACTCACACACGCACACACACACATACACACACACGTATGCACACACTGTGGCCCAGTGGCCCGCTGCACCTCTCTGGAGGCGGCTTGTTGCCAAGGAACAAAAGACCCTCTTCAGCCGAGCACAGCTCTCCGTCAAAAACATAAGTTCATAAGTGGATGAATGGTAAACCTGGTCTGACCACATCACGACGGTGGTGAGCTGTATTATCAAAGAGCCAGTAAAGTGTAACAGGACATCCACTGACTTTAGTCTAATTGAGTGTAACTAAATATTATTCAGAAACATTCCTCCAGATAAGAGTTTTTGGGAAAGTATTTCAATAATTCTCTGTTCATCCCTCCACCTCTGTCTTCACCACCCCAGAGATAAGATAAGAGATAATATTATGTCAGGCTGATAATACCCAGAGCTGGTCATGCTTTATCTAATCTGTTTTGCTTAGTCATCGACTCTGTCCGACTGAGAAGGAAGGGAACATGATCACTTCAATTAAAAATAATTTAAAGGTACAGTGTGTAGAATTTTGTGATATCTAATGTTAAAATTGCATGTTGCAGCTGAACACCCCTCACCTCACCCTCTCCTTCCAAACATGAAAAAGAACCTGTGGTACCTTTTAATTGTCATAAAAACTCAAAAGGTGTTTAGTTTGTTCAGTCTGGACTAATGTAAAAAACATGGCGGCTTCCGTAGAGAGGGTCCCCTCAATGTAAATATAAAGTATTTAAATATAAAGAGTCTTTTCTGGGTTAAAGAAAACCGTAATTCATACAATTTAGATGTAACTAACTAGTGAAAACATCATGAGGATTATTCTACATACTTTCTGCCAATAGTTCCCTTTCACCTAAATCTTACACACTGGACCTTTAAGTGTGTCAGATCAAAGCATTCAGTGTTTTACCATTGAATAGAAAATATGTATTTAGTGCTTATCAAGTCTTATCACACACATTTTTTCACACACACGTCCATACAGCACTTCTATTTTTCTATCACGCAGCATTCATACACCTCTGGTACAGCCGTCAGGGGCAAATTTGAGGTTCAGTATCTTGCCCAAGGATTCAAACCACCAACCTTCTGGTTAATGGACAACCTGCTCTACCTCCTGAGACACAACTCTTTATTGTCCTCAGAGTTTTAATCACCCCCAGAGATCAAGATCAGATAAAACTTATTACAGTCGGTGTCATCTCCAGGTGGAGCCATGCTGGACAAAATAACTACGGTCACTCAGGTGTGATTTTATTCAGGTTGAGATTTGAACTCCCCATCAGAAGCAAGTATTGGATTTCTTTAGGGCACAGGAATGTTTTCATGTTTTTTATCTTTAATGAGTTGAGCAGTGGACGACTGATCTCACATAACTGTGATTTCCAACCTCTTGAATGTGATATCTTATCAGAGTCTGACAATATGTCCTGTCCCTGTGAGCAGTTGACTTATCGGCCCCTGGGAGCAGCCCTGTTTGTTTGCTGTCGGATGCATTTAGACATAATTCCTCATGCCACTGGAGTCTCAGAGTAATCATGAAGTTGTTTTCACTGCCTCCCCCGCTGACTGCTGCCCTCACACTGGGCACTGACACGGGGCCCTCGCTGCCGCCCGTGTGGCGTCAGAGGCTCCGTGTGGCGTCAGAGGCTCCGTGAGGCCCGACAGATGCACTGATAAGTGAAGTCTCATGTCTCTGGCCCCAACAACATCATTATCTCTCATTAACGTCCTTCTATAAGAGCCACAACACCACAACGAGGACCATTAGGTTTACAAATCCTCCCCATATATGTCACTGGGCCTGTGTGTGTGAAAATGATACAGACTGCAGCACAGGGAGCAGCGTCGCCCTCTGACCTTGGCAAATCTGTGTAATTATGTCAAAGCGGGAGCCGCAAGGGCAACCTGTTCTACATTCTTCACAGTACACACTGCCCATTAAAGCATTCATTAAACACAGCTTAGCTCAGCGAGTGACCAGGAAATCTGGTGGAATTAGTCTCAAGCTGCGTTTCCACCGCCGCAGACACACCTGATGAACCAGGACGGCTGTTTCCAGTCGCCACCGCCCCCCCGCTCAGCTTGTCGTCTGGTTGTTGGACAGCAACTGGGAAACGCTTCTTACCAAAACTAGGTTTACGTGACAAATAGAGCAGCCATGTTTTCATGTTTGTGACATAACTGAGGACAAACTTTGGTAGTTTTTCGTCATCCATTTTAAATCTGATCATTTTCAGGACTAACAAACAGAGAATACAGTACTAGAGCAAAACAATTACATTTTTAATGGAAACAAGAAACAACTTTTCAATAGAATTTCAACATGAGTCTTTACATGAATCATCTGAATGTGCTGCACCGTCACAGCACGTAAGCCAACTCAACCAGGCACATGAAAAATGTGCCTCTATGTTTTAGTATGAAGAATAACTTACAATCACAGCATTTTAAAAGCTAAACTTTCTTGTGAATCCGACTCTACGTTTGTCTTTGCTGGTGTTGATAGGAGAAGGTTTCTGAAGCGGTCACAGAGGAAGGAATATAAAGCATCTTATAAAACATATCTTTAAAAAAATATTCATTTTTACTGGTCACAGCAGGTCATCTTAGAATCTAATGTTTGATTGTGCAGGTGAGCCATTTGAAGTAGCTGAAATGAGTCCAACTTTTACAAAACCTTTTTTACGCGGTGATGTAAAACCAGATGTGAACAAGCTGTTTGAATGAAGTGCAGTTCTGCGGGTGATTGTGTTGTGCTGTCAGTCTCTAAGCAGGTCAATCTTTCATGAACGATCCCTCAAACGTACTCTGTTCGCTTCCTGATGTTAAAGTCCGTACTCATCACCTGGTACCGTCGCTGCTGCACCGGCTGAGGCTCCACCTGTGAGCACCAGCATGAGGTGACCAGGAGCAGCCCGGCCACTATGAGGAGAAATCCTCCCACCCAGCCACAGAACAGGGCATCTCCAAACTCCCATCTCGGCACCACGTCAGGTACTTTATCGTCAAAGAAATGTATGACGGCTAAATGGGCCATGTAGGAGACAGGGATCAGACACAGCACTCCAGAGACCATCCCCAGCAGCCCTCCCACAGTGGTCAGAGTCCTCTTGGTTCCACAGCCTCTGCGTTCTTTACAGATGTTGACCAGGTCAAGTCCAGGTATAGCTACCAGGATTCCCAGCATGCCCACAACGAGGGATGTACACATGAGGATGCGGGCCAGCTTGAGGTCACTGGAGAGGCCCAGCAGGCTGTCATAAGATCGACACTCCATGCCTCCGACGTCCTGGACCACGCACGTCTCCCACAGGCCCAGCTCGTAGCTCTCCACAGGCAGCAGAGCGGTGGACATGGTCAGCCACTGGGGTAAGATAGTGGTAGTCAAAGCACACAACCACGCTCCCACATAGACCAGCATCCCCAGCAGCTCCAAAGCACAGGCGCGAGTGTCCATCCCTCTCTCTCTGTCCTCCATGCTTGACGGAGCCGCAAGAGTCCTTCTTCTCTGGAGAGGCCTGTTGATGTCCAGCCAGGACAGACGCTGCTCAAGGCACCTGGTAATTGGAGTTGACTGCTCGGTCTCTGAACTCGGAGCTGTTTCACAAACAGTTCCCACTCAGAGGAGCACACGTCTTGAGTTGCGGGGAGGAGAGGGGGGCCTGTTCGGGCCCTCCCCTTTGTGGTCATTCTGCTCCTCTGCTGCTGTGCCAATGGGCAGCAGAGGCAGAGATGGCTGGGCGGCCTCAAGATCATTGTCAAATGCTTTTTTCTGTGATAGCAGGCCCCAAGGGATGCCATTAGACAGGATATTTATGTTTTATGTAAAATGTCAGTTTTTGCATCCTGTATGTCCTCAGAGACTCAGCAGAATGAGAAACACAAACTAGAATGACAGAGTGCTTACCTCTGCCAAGTCCCAACAGTTCCCTTATCAAACCACATTTAAATTCACTAAATCCTGAATTTATGGGGGATCTGCACCAAACTGCACCCACTCTTCAATACCAGTCCTCTGAACATGACTGAATTTGAAAATCATGAATTTCTTTCGCAGAGATCCTTTAATTATTCTCTGAGAAATCAAGGCAAATGTTTAAAAACTCAAAATGCATAAAGGAAATTTAAAATAAATTCCTGGATCTTCTGATCCAAATCTGTGCCAAAATTTAAGGTGTTCTTTTTTAACCAGTACCACATCCTTCCACCAATTTCCTTGGTAATCCATTCAGTAGTTTTCATGTTATTCTGCTAACTAACTAATAAATAATAACATATGTAAACTTTAATGACTGATTAAAAAACAAATAAACGTGTAGCACAGCACAATGAGGCCAGGTTTATATTTATGTATGAATGCCAGACAAAGATAAGCTTCTCATAAACTGAGCTACCTCCAGACAATAAATAAAACCTCTTTATTTGAATCTGTGTGTTACGATGAGGACTTTGTCGGAGAATTGTTAGTGCACTCAAAATGCACTCTTCAATATGGAAATGCTCCAGGCTCTTAATTAATTTATTGTCCATGAAATAAAATTATGCAAAGAAAATAAAAGTGTCTCCATGAATATTGAGATTTGTCCATGTAAGACAACAATATGTCTTCTTGATGTTCATCAGTTTGGTGTAGCTGTGCCACAGTCAGGCCCCCTGCTGCATGTGACTGAAAGAGAAACGACAGTGCAGCTTATTGTGGCTCTCATATGAACACTACACAGCCTGTGGGAAATGGATGTAGGAGGCTATAGATCAAAGCTGTGATGAGAGAAACTGTTTCCCAGCTCCACACACACACACACACACACACACACACACACACACACACAAGACACACACAGACAAAAATGCACAGATAAAAATCCCCAGCCTGCTAAACTCCACCTCCTCTGGAGAAGAAAACACTCATGACTGCAGAGCCGTCCTGACAAAGACTCTACATTTGTTCGGCTGCACACACACAAACACACACACACACACACACACACACACAGTCTGGTGTTCTGGTGTGAGGCTGCAGCAGTGGTGCATGTGTCTGATGCACTAGGGGCCGAATAATGCCAAACTTCACCAGTAAGAAAAATAACTGACACAGTGACACAGACATAAAGAACGTACTTTACGAAATCCCAAATTGAAGCTCAGGGGAAATTCCAGTTGATTTTCAAGTCATACTGATTTTACTGCACCAGAGGCTTCAAGTAAACTATGAGGAAATACAGTGTACCATGTCAGTGTTGTTGCAGTTCTCCAGGTCACAGATAGAGGGAGAGAAAGATCCTGTGTTCCAGCTTCCCCTCACTCACACACACACACACACACAGTGCATGTGTAACTTCCTGTGACTTCCTAACCTCTCACTGACTTATTCTTGCTCATGTTGGTTAATTTGGATAATACTTTCCCCAATGTTTGCATTCACGAGTTGTTGGGTGTCCACTACATTCATTTTGCAGCGGGGGGCCCAGGTACTTTTTACTGTGCCATGTTACCCTGCTGCATGTCCTTCCTCCTCACTCTTTACTTTGCACGTTAACAATAAACACCAATACTCACCTCATGTGATTAGGGCAAAGTTTCCTTTATGTTTGTTTGATTCGCTCTAGAGTTTATGAGATACGCAAACGCAAGGAAAAAAATCTGCTACACAACATCACAAGGCGTGATGCACACAGACAGGACATCAGGGTTAAAGTGACGATCGGAATTCATGATCTGACATCATCGATTAACATCTAAACAAATGTGTGAAGAGCGACAGAGACGAGCAGACACACACACACACACACACACTCGCACAAAATATGACGCAACACTGTGTTTTAACGTCATGGTTGAAGAAGAAGCAACGCCTCATTTATCCATTAACACATGAAGATGAGCTAGTGATGCAGTTTACGGAAAGTCCCTGAAGACCGGAGCCTTTTCTTCAGGATCTGCCTTCGTGACCGATGAAGGAAATGGCCTTTGTGGGCCGCGTAGACCACCTTTAATATTCACCTTGCTGAATCAGGAGTTGTGCAAGAATGTTAGACATATAATTGGCCCCTCTGTTTAAATTGTGGCCCCTTTATATCCACTGATTTAGAAAAATCTTAGAACCGCCACTGCCACACAGTGGCACAAAACAGCCTGGCTGCGGTTGTGCCTGTGGACACCAGGGGGCGCTGCAGTCGTGATTAAAGCACTGTATCAGGTTTAATAATGTAAATGAAAGTTATACATGTTTAATCTGCTGAACCTGTTTCAGTCACGAACACTTTTCCTCTTATATATAAAGTGAGGTAGGTTAAAGTATGTGGGTCCACAGGATGACGTCTAAAGTGAGCCACAGCATTAAACCTGCGGTGTGTGACATGTGTCACATTTAAACATGACCGTCAGACAGGGCTCTGTCTCGAACCGTGTTACAGTGAGCTGAAGCTGCGGAGCGGGGACTCGTCGCCATTGGACGGAGCTGCTGTGTCGTACGTCCGACCACTTATGCAAATCCGCTCTTCCCGAATATGGACACGGAGGAATGAAGTATGGAGGAGGAGGCGAACATGGAGGACCGAGGACCGTGAGAGCGCCGCGGTGCCGTGAGACTGTTTTTTCGTGGGGTTTGTCGGGGGAAAAGTGGATGTACCTCCGGCGGAACTTTTCAGCGGACGAGCTCGGCGGAAAGTTTTGTTTTTGTTGAGCGGACAAGTGCGTCGAGGCGGAGTTGGTTGTAATGCGGTGAAGAGAGGAGCGACTCTTTCTCTTTTCCTCGGGGGGACTACACAGCAGGGCAGGGGGCTTGTGCCCTCTCACCATCCCGACGCTATGCCGTGGGTCAGCGGCGGTAAGCGGAGAGAGAGCTCGGAGCTGCCGCTGCCCGCGGGCTGGGAGGAAGCCCGGGATTACGATGGCAGAGTGTTTTTCATCGACCACAACACCCGGCAAACTTCGTGGATTGACCCCAGAGATAGGTACGTGAGGCCCGGGAGTAGTGGGATCACACACACAAACACACACACACACACACACAAACACACACACACACACCGAGTACGGTTAATACAACCAGACCCCCCTCAGTAGAACAGGCTGGAGGAGGAGATGTCAGGGCGGCTGCGGGGAGGGAGGGGGCCACGGCTCCAAGTGAAGGAACCAGTTTAGTTGAGTTTTCAGGGCTGTTGTGGATCATGGAGCCGCCACCGAGGGAATCAGCTGAGATCTGGCAGCAGATGATCGAGGCCTCCTCACCTCCTCAACAAGTTCCCATGCAAACACGGGATGTGACGCCCACGGTCCCCCACCGTGCAGCTGCTCCCACCACCACTGTCCCAACATGTCTCCTCTTTAACCCGCAAATATCACAGTTTTCCCCACTGTGTCGCAATGACACGGGGTTAGACAGCAGCCCCCAGTCGGTCCGGTTTGTTGTGTGTCAGAGGATGGGTCTGATCAGCTCACTGTGCTCACACTGCTCACCTGAGCTCTCTCTCCTCCATGACAGAGGAAAGCTAAATGTCTGCAGACCTCAGTCCTCCACACTCATCACGGAGCTCTGCAGATTTATGACTTCCAGTGACCTGAAACATTCCTGGTTCACACACACCTAACACAGAGACCTATTGTTACCCAGCTCCCCTTTCCTTCTCACTCACACACACACACACACACACACACACACACACACACACACATCCTGGAGCCCTAACACAGCTCTGAAGTCTCTGCTCCATTCTGCCACCAAAATCATCTCAAAATGACCCTCAGTGTGTGTGAGGCTCTGGCTGGATTTGAGAATGGAGAGTGTAGCACGAGCGATAAACTCCAACTCCCAGAAATCTTTGTGGAAAAATGCGAGGAATGCTCACTGGGCCACTGGGAAAAGCTGCAAGGATGTGCTTTTTGTGGGGGACTGGGATATCAGCAGCCCAGAAACAGGCTCAATCAGGCATTCAGAGCAGACTCTGGGAGATTACTGGGAATTATTTGAACTCGGCCGCATTATGAGGGGGAAAAGGCAGAAATCCCCAAAAACAACACTCCCAAGTATGGAGCGGGGACACCAGTGCAGTCTGAGTTTCCATCTCTCAGAGTAAACCAGTCTGCTTGTTGCTGCTCACAGCACATTTTAAACCAGCTTTCTTGCAGTCAGCTCCAACAGTAGGAATGTAGTAGCTGCATGTAATCTAGATAAGAGAAACCTGATTTCCTTCAAGGCCCCCTCCTCCCAGCAAGTTGATTAGCCATTGTTGGGTGAAGCTGATAGCAGTCGTCAGCGTTTGGGGGGGGGGGACTCTGGGGTTTTATGTTTGCATGACAAAAGAACATCCTCAGCATTTATTGCGGTCCTGCTCAGTGATTTATAGGTGATTCTCGTTTAGAGGAATGTATGTCACCACCTGATACTGACTTTCCTCTAGATCACGTTACTACACGGCAGTAAAAGATGGCTCTCTGCTAACATCCAACAGATACAAAAAGGTGTCAGCTATTCAGTCCGTGTTGCTGCACAAATCTAGTTCCTTCCATCCACTGTGTTTAACTGGACTCTTGAGCACAATGGGGATGGCAGGAGAAGAGAGATAAATGCATTGATGATTATAATGGTCTCATACTTGTCTGCGTCAAGGCACAGTGTGA